TCAGCAGAGAATTCATTCAGACTCTGCTCCCACTCTCATCATGGCAAAAGTAACCCCGCAAGGCCTTTGATGGCATTTTGCCAGGGCTCTGAAAGTTAGTGATAATGATAATGACTGACATTGACATAACATTTTTTGACTAAAAGCTCCTGAAGAACCCAACAAAGTTTACCAACCAATTAAAAACTCTGTGGAACTACATCTAATTATATTGCCCTGCTGGCCTTGGTTGAGGTGAGGTGACTGTAACCCTGAGCCTGTAGGGGCAGCTGTGCCACATGGCAGATTCACTCCCAAGGATTTCACCAAGCAGAAGCAACTTTAAGTTCCTGGCTGGATTGCTCCAATTTCTGGGCTGCTCTGGCCAGTTCCAGGCCCCCTAGGCAGAGTGAGGGGTTCCAAGTCAACCTGAGCCATTCTACCTTGCCCTCTTCGGCAGAGTTTTTTCACCACCAGGCCTGCATTCACCTGTCTATACACTAATGCTGGGAGCCTGAATAATAAGCAAGAGAAATTGGAATTGTTTGTTTACGAGCATAAACTGGACTTAGTTGGTATTACTGAGCTGTGGTGGGAAGACTGGCATGACTGGAATGTTAAAATCACTTGTTATAAGCTATTTAGGAAGGATTGAATAGGCAAAAGGGATGGAGGAGTGGGTACTCTGTCAAAAAAGGGCATTACCTGTTTATGAGTCACTGACACCTCCTGAATGCTTATGGATCAATGTAAGCGTTGCTTCCAATCCTTGAGGGGGCCATTTAGGGATCTGGGGCAAAAATTGGGGATTGGTCCTGCTTTGAGCAGGGGGTTGGACTAGATGACCTCCTGAGATCCCTTCCAACCCTGATATTTTATGATTCTATGATCTGACTCCACCTCTTCATCAATAACTTCATCCTCTGGGTTCACTCCTCTTTCCGTGGCCTCCAAAAGTATCCATGTGGTTCTTGGCAATGGAGGTGGGATTGCCACCAAGGATAGTATCCAGCTCCTTATAAAACCGGCAGGTCTTAGGTGAAGCACCTGAGTGGTGGTTTGCCTCCCTTGCCTTTTGGTTCACTTGCCTCAGCTCCTTTATCTTCACTCTGCACTGCTGCGTATCTCAATCATAGCCCTTTTCGCACAAGCCTCGAGATACCTGCCCACAGATATCCCAATTCCTGTGGCTCAAATGCAGCAGGGACTGCACAGCCTCCTCTCCCCATGTACTGAGCAGATCCAACAGCTCTGCAATGGTCCATGCGGGAGAGCGTTTGGTGCAATAAACTACTATGCTCACCTGGGAAGATGTGTTGAGACCTCTCCATGCCAAGCAAACAGGAAATGGAATTTTAAAAATTCCTGGGGCTTCTAACGGGGAGTTGTTTACTTGGCTGCAGGGCAGTGGAGTTCAAACTGCTGACCAGAGTGGACAGGATGGGCATGGTGGGACATCTCCTGGAGATCAATTAAAGCGATGAAATGAAGCATGGTGTCTACACTTGCACTTTGTCGACAACAATGTGGAGGGAAAAGACGTAAATCCCTCTTGAGGGTGGATGTATTTTGTCGCCAAAACCGGGCATTCTCCCCAACAAAAGTCACCTTGCAGTGTGTATGCACTCACTGTTTGGGTCAACAAACGGCAGTTTTGGCGACAAAACTTGGTAGTGTAGACACGGCCATAGTCTTTCAATCTTGCCGAAAACACTGCCTCCCTCCCTGCTCCCAAGTGAGTCCAAATGAAATTCTAGCAAGTCTTGACAATAAGCAATGGTTTATCTAAACTTGCATGCAGTCAGCTCTCTCATTTCTACATACACAGACCCCCTTTTGTTTCCAGCCTCATTTAAAAAGTAAATCCTTTTCCACAATAAGCCAAGAAGACGCCCTTTGTGAAGCAGTTTAGCAAAGCTGTGAGCTCTTAGCCATTAACAACAGATTTAGAGCCATAAAGGGGGGGTGGAGTTGGAGAGGAGAGGGTGTGTGTGAGGGTGAAATAGGCAAGAGGTAAATACATAACAGGAGATGACAGACAGTGGACATGCTGGGAGAACAGAAAATACAGAAACTAATGGATTCAAAGAGGCAGGAAATCTAATCCAGGACAGAAAGATCTAGTGAACAGAAAATCCCATTTGCTAATGAGAGCAAACAATGTGAATGGGAATAAATCTGTTCTTATTAAATAAGAGCTGGGGAAGTAAATATCCGACAAATCCTATCGAATTTAGTAACAGTCATCCAAGGCCTCCCTTAAGACACCGCTCCCTCCATACATACACACACACACACGCCAGCCTGCTCTGATTTGTACACTAACAACCGTGACATGCACTTGCCCCTGCTCCACATACACACAGCAACTGTCTCCTCCTGCAGCTGGCTCTGCCTATCCAGTCACAGACAAGTGAGAGGACAGGAGCCGTGTGAGCTCGCTGGCACAATCTCACCCCCCTCAGCTTCCAACCTACCCTTCTCCAGGTCCAGCACCATTGTCCTGGGGATCGAGGGGAGCGGCTGTGTTTGCCACTCAGTCTCTGCTGCTCTCTCCCCCTCCAGCAGCCACCTCTGCTTCTTTGCTCCAGGGATGGGAAGGAAAGGAGGACTGGAGTGTTTGCAATGCGATGCCGAGCGAAAAATGCACCCAGACCATCCTCCCTAAGTCCCGCACCTCAGCCAGCTAGCTACAGTTGCTCGACTTTAGTAAGGGGAAGGATTATGAGTCCCTTACTAGTGTGGACCATTGGTGCCATTGTAAACCCGGTCCTGAGCCTTTCTAATGTTGTTCCTACATACTTGTGCTATTCTTTTGCACACCTCCTTAGCAATCTATCCATGTTTTCACTCTCTGTGGGATTCCTTTTTGATTTTCAGGTCATTAAAGAGCTCCTGATGGAGCCATATTGGTCTGTTCCTTTCCTTTGCATTGGGATTGTTTGCAGTTGTGCCTTTAACAGTGTCTCTTGGAGAAACTGACAGCTCTCCTGAACTCCTTTTTCCCTTACATTTTCTTCCTATGGGACCGTACCTAACCAGTTCTCCGAGTTTGTGAAAGTCTGCTTTTGTTTTGAAGTCCATTGTTTTTATTATGCTGCTCTTGCTGCTTCCTTTCCTTAGAATCATGAAATCAATCGTTTCATGATCCCGTTAATCATAGCAAGGGCCTCAGACCCCTGGTGGAGAACTGCTGGACTAGGGCAGTAGAACCAGGCTTTTTTGGATCAGTGGAGTAGAGGGAAGCATGTTCCAGAGTGAAGAGCCCCTCACAGAGAATGCTCCATGACCTGCCCCCCTCTCTTTTTAATTAAGGGGAATCTAGTCTGAGTGCCTCTTCCAATTGTAACTCTGGCAGTATTGCCCAGGGGTTGGGGCGGGGGGAGAGGTAGTCCCCGAGGCAATAGCAGTGTTCTGTGAACTCACCTGAGGGAGGTCGCCTACAGCTTGGAGATGGTGGACTGGAAATTTTGAATCAATGCAGTTCAAGAACATGTTCATACAGAATCTTATTTTTTTCCACTTGTGAGCTCTCAATACCTTGTGGACAAAGTCTCCTTCACATAACTTTATCCTCATCCCTGGAGGTATTCCAAGCAATACATAGGATCTGCCACTTAGCTGTGAGCCTCAGACACAGCTAGTTAGTAAACATCAACTCCGAGGTCTACCAAACAAGGACCTCAAGAAAGGCATTTTTACCGAAACTGCTATTTATCTATTTATTATGATTTTATTGTTACAGATGAGTTCCTGTACGTGATCCACTCACAGGCCAATGATACCAGTCCCCAGTTGTTTCCCCAATGGCTTTCTCTATATTTCTTCAGTGATGGGAGAGGGAACTTGCGCATTAAACCACTTTTCTCTTTCGTCTCAAGTCAAATGATAAAATCATTTTAGAGAAAAATTGTTAGTCCCTGGTACAGTCTGACTTTCAGTGGTTGAGTCAGATTGAGGCTAACAGGCCAATAGGCAGATGGTTAGGATTGCTATTCAGTACTGGGGATCCTGACCCAAAAGAAAACAGAATAGTGCAGAACTTTCACACACTCAGACATCGCAGCAGTTCTACTGATTCTAGATTAGTCATTTTTGGAAAGATTAGCCAATTCTGCAGCAATAAGATATTTAAGTTAATTATAGAGTTTGTGAACCAATATAAAACAAGAGCAACTCTCATGAAGTCAATCTGATTTATACCATTGTAAGACTGACATTAAGTGTGAGGTGACTAAGGTCGTGAATGTCTGGTTTTCTCTCTAATGCCCTGAGAAATGGTTTGTTACATTTAGGATTGGGGTGAAATTGTTAAGAAATTGTCACCGTCAGCAAAGAAGCTTTGAACACATATAACTAGAGATGGGCAAACAGTACAAACTATTTCCATGCCCATTCATTTCAAATGGACGTTTAAACACATTTGCGTTGAGTATGGTTCCATCCCTGTTGTGTTCATGTAAGTTTTAGGTGGGCTACAGCAGGGGTTCTCTAACGTTTTCTTTCTGAGGTCCCCCCCCAACATACTATAAAAACTCCAGGGCCCAGTGGGAGGTGGTGGGGGGGATGCTCAGGGTTCCTGGCTTCTGCCACCAGGGGTGGGGAGACTCGAGGCTTTAGCCCCTGTAGGGCTCAGGATTTCAGCTGCAGGGGAGGAGGTTGAGGCTGTGGACTTCACCCACCAGGTGTGGGAGAGCTGGGGCTTCAGCTGCGGGGTCAGGGGGGACTTTGGGCTTCTGCCCTACAGGGGCACCAGGCTCAGGGCTTCAGACCCATGGCTCCGCTCACAGCTTCAGCCCCGCAGGGGTGCCTGGGCTCGGGGCTTCAGCCTGGTGGGGGGGCACCAGGACTCAGGGCACAGGGGGCATCCAGGCTCAGAGCTCCCCGCAGCTATGCTCCGGTTTCAGATCCATGGGGGTGCTAGGGCTTGAGGCCCTGCACTTCAACCACAAGACAGCTCACGGCCCCCCAGGGGGTCTCAGACCCCTGGTTAAGAACTGCTGGGCTAGAGTTTGCTTTACCTCTCCTCTCCTAGCACTTCAACACAATTCCTAGAGAAAAGTCCATGGAGAGCCAGAATTCAGACACTGAGGATTTCCAGCAAGGATTTCACAGGGTCAGCCGCCCCCACAATCAAGCTGAAAAGAACAAAAGGAACAAATTGAATTCTTAAGCACCAACTTTATAACATTTTATAATAATAACTAATAATTAATAGCAGTTTAATCTCTACTGAATAACAAGGCTACTTCATAATCTACATACCTTATCTTCATTTATACATAAACATAATCAAACAAAACAAATTAAATCTATACCGGTCAGTCCCCACAAAGGGTAGTGCAGGGGCACAAGGGAATGAGGAAGAGGGTAGCTGAGTGGGGTGCAGGAACACATGGGAATGAGGTGGTGCAGGGATGGATGAGGACAGGGGTAGGGGGTGCAGGGACACATGGGGAGGGAGCAGATGTGCCTGACTGAATGGGAGAGGTTAGGGGTCAGCCAGGGTCTGCATAGGGGAGGTTCCCCCACCTCCCTAACAATCCCCCTCCCAAAAAAAAAACCCTTGTTCTGTACTTCTCCTACCCACGTCCAACAGTCCTCCAGGTTCACTCCCAGGCTCTTTCCCAGCAATTACTTCCCTTTCCCTCAGCTCCTCCTGACACCTCCAAGCCTTTGCACTGCTTCTGGGGAGTCCAGGAAACACATTTCTGTAAACGTTGTAGATTAAGTAAATTATTACTCAAATATCTGCATTAATATGCCTAGTAAGGAATCTCTTTGTCAAAAAACATTTCCTGAATCTTTTTTTTGTCTGTATTGTACATATTTGTTGACAGGTATTTTGAAATAAGTTACCAAAATAATTGAAACGGGCAGGATTATATTGTTATTTTGACAAATAAAATTTGCAGAATTTTAAAATGTTGTGCGCAGAATTCCCCCAGGAGTAATATAATGCACATGGAGAGTTAGGCGCTTGAGGGTACGTCTACACTGCAGTTAAATACTTGTGGCAGGCCCATGTCAGCTGGCTCAGGTTTGCAGGGCTCAGGCTGCAGGACTGCAAAATTGCAGCATAGACGTTTGGAACCTGGACTCTGGGACCTTCCCCCTTTGCGGGTTGCTGGAGCTCAGGCTCCAGCCAAAGCCTGAATGTCTACACTGCAGTTTTACAACCCAGTAGTCCGAGCCCCATAAGCCCAAGTCAGTTGACACAGGTCAGCTACAGATGCTTAATTGCAGTGTAGACATACCCTGGGAAAGGGGCTCCTCAGAAGCCAGCCAGATGAGCAGGGAACCACCTAAGCGAGCCGAGGGCCTGTGATTTTTTCCCCCACACACTCCTAGCTGACACAGCTATACTGGCAAAACTTGGTAACGTAGACCAGGCCCTAGTCAACCTGCACTGGACTCGGATGTCATTTACAAGCATGACACTCCCAGATAAGAGCAGTGGAAACAGCAGCAGCTGTTTCTGAATGGCGACGACCCCCCATGCGGCTGTGCTCTCACACCTTTACTACCTATTGCCTATCTGAGGTACTTATACGAGCACCTCACGATCTTTAAAAGACCTATCCCCACATCACCCCTGGGGGAGATGTGCTATTATTCCCATTTTACATAAAGGAACTGAGGCACGAAGGGCTGGATCCTCAAAGATATTTAGGCACCTGACACCACCACGTGGACACTGACAGCTTCAAGGCTGCTGCCTAACCCTATAGGTACCTAAAAATCCCCCGGCCTCTAAGTTTCCACCAGTAAGGTCCTCCAGATGCCTAAATTTCTGCCAGTGGGGATGCACTCAGCCTCTTAAATTCTGTAGTTCAGTGCCTAACTCCTGGGGGGGAGTCACATAGTAGGCATTCCCCCAGCTGTCTCACCAGTGGGGCCCCATCCAGTGGATGTGCTCTTAGGTGGCCTCAAAACATGTCTAATGGATCAGGTCCTGCACAAAACACAGCTGGAGGAGGTGGTTCTCCCACTTACGTCCAATAGCCTGCCGGTTATAGCACTCCCCGCAGTGGGCAGTTATGGTACACATTCCTCCTCTGATGTGGAGCAGGGACTTGAACTGAAGTTTCTCTTCTCCCACAAGAGTGCCCTAACCACTGAGCTATGGGGTATCTCAGTCTTGCCTATTGAAGCTTCTTCACTTTGTATACAATGCTTAATCAGTCATTGGGGATGGGGGTTAGAAAGAGAGAGAGAGAAAATATGACCTTATAACCCAGCCCAGGGGGCACTCACCTGGGAGTGAGTCATTGCTTCAGTGACTAAGTGTGCTTCATCCCCCCACCGCTGAGATGTGCAGACTGGATTGTGCATACACCATCTCCACAGCATGACTGGGCATGCTCCAGTCCACAGCTGCAGAAGCTGAGCAGGACCAACCCTGCAATTGCTGCTCCCGGCTACTGTAGGTCCAAGAACTGGGGCTGAAAGGAGGGAGGCTGTCTATGCTAGGGGTTCTCAAACTGGGGGTTGGGAGCCCTCAGGGGGTCACAAGGCTATTACAGGGGCAGGGTCACAAGCTGTCAACCTCCACCCCAACCCCGCTTTGCCTCCAGCATTTATAATGGTATTAAATATGTAAAAAACTGTTAATTTATAAGGGGGGGTGGTCACCCTCAGAGGCTTGCTTTGTGAAAGGGGTCACCAGTACAAAAGTTTGAGAACCACTGCTCTATGCTGTATTCTCAGTGCTTCCCCCTGCTGGTGCTGAGGCAATGAGGAGGGGAGAATAGGGAGGTGCAGGGAGCTGGGTCTTCAGGCACTGAAGGGAACAGAAATTGGGACAAATTGCTAGGGTGTGAAGGGAACTGTACCAGAGCAATGAGGGAGAGGCCTTTTTCCAGGGGATGATTCTGGTTGGCTCCCATAAGACCAACTAACAGCTCAACAACTTGCTTTGCATAATCCATGGCAGCACTCCAACACTATTTGCGAAAAAGCATTTTCCCACTGGCTTCATTCTGGTATTGTGTACACAGGGAATGACTATGTCTCATTTGCTATTTGGATGACCTATGATCTACATCAGATGGGAGTCACAAGGAAACATGGCACCATCTAACTTTTGGGCAACTAGAAAAATCACTGGGATTCACAAAGTCTGAGTTAGGTGCCTTAGCTCCCTGCACAATGAATGGGGAGAAATAAGCACCTGAGGGTGAGATTCACAGAATGGATACTTGCATGGCACAGGTATGGTTTAGATGATATAACTGCGTGTTATCCCTGATGAAGGCTAAATTAGCTTAATGAAATGTGTTTATTGTTGCATCCTATAATACCATGTGTGCGTGCACACACAATTCAAGGCTCTCGCTGGGCCCAATCCAGCTCCCACTGAAGTCAATGAACATTTTGTCATTGTTTCTAACTCTGGTGGTTCACAGGTAGTAGAAAGGCTGAGTTTAGGTTATACAGGTGATCTTAACTGTGTCTTTCCATACTCTTTAAGGAACGTGAAAATGTAATTTTGAATTTGCAGCCAAAACGATTTTTACAGAATCCTGTAACATTCGCTTAAGGGGTTTTTCCTGAAGTGATAAATTTAACTCAAACTTAACTCCATCTTTAAAAAAGGTTTGCTGGCTGGGAATTTGAGAAAATCTGCAGCTCTTCCATGGCCACAGCTCCCTCTGCTGTCAGCTAAGTTACATGCACAAAGCCCTAAAGAATCAAGTATGCTAGTGAATCTTGTCTTTAAGGTGTTCCTGTCAGATGTCATCACAAAGATCCCATGAAGGTAGTTAGAAAAGGCCTGATCCAAAGCCTACAGAAGTCACCAGAAAGACTTCAATTAATTGAAGAGGGCTCCGCGAGAGAAATTCAGTGGGCTTTCCATCAGGCACAAAGATGCCACAGAAAAATGATCTCCAGGTTTTCAGGTTAAGCATATTTTAACTATTTATGGAATAGTTTTAAGGCTACCTGTTAAAAGGATCATGAAATTGACAGGATCATCAATCACCACAACCCACAATCTTTCTGTCATAAGGGTTTTCTATAACATCTGTCACCAGACTAATATGTAAAAATACAATGCGCCCATACTTGGTTTTTGCTCTAGTTTAATCTGTATTTCAAAAACATTTTTATTTTTGAAACAAAACAATGATTTAAAAAACTGCATTTCAAAACACCAGATATTATGCCCCATGATAATTATAATGAGCATCCCCATTCTTCCCATTTTTATTTAATATATTTATTTTCTTTCATTCTGTATAATTTTCCTGCACTGGAGTCAACTACCGAGTCTACCCCTACAGATGCCAGAGTAAAAAGAGGAAACCCCTCCTCTGTTTAAAAATGGGAAAGGATGCAAGTAAGGTTAAAGATAAATTACTCAATCCCACACAACTAGTTTCAAATGAATTCACTGTCCACAGAGATAACCACTGTCACAGTGACTACCACACCACAGTTAAAATTACTTTGCTTCTGATCAGAATATTACATGTCTTTAAGAGGTAGAGGACATTTTTCTCCAAATTGTGTTCATTTCAATACAGTACATGATAGTTACTGTGAATTTTACACACACACACTTATTATTTGAAGCATAAGTAAAAAGGAGAGAAGAATTATTTAGGAAGACAGGGAGTAATTATAGAAAATTAAAGAGGGGGAATATAGGTTAAATATTAGGAAAGACTTCTTGGCAGTGAGATCTATTAGATTCCACAATAGCCTCCCAAAGGAACTGGTAAAAGCACAATCGCTTCAGACATTTAATAAACTGGACAAAGGACTAGAAAATATACAGTCATGCTCCAGCTAAGGTAAAGGGCTAGATGATGTAACTGGTCTTTTCCACCCAGAGTTAGACTCACTATAGCCATGAGTTAGCATAAAAGAGTTACTTTAATAGCAGCCAAAAATTACACCAGGATAGACCTATCTGAATCCAAATTGGTTCTTAAGTAACAGTGTTGAGTATTTAAAGAGCTGATTTGATGGGATTTCTCATCCATTTCATAAGCAGTGGATTTTAAAACAAATGATTTTTAAAATTACAAAAATAGAAGTCTTTACTGTAGTTAACAGGTTAAAAATATGCCAAGTATATATTAGCTAAATTTTGTTAAACTTCAGTACATTCATATTACAATATTTTGTATGACTAATTTGTTGTAAATGAACGTTCGGTGCAATATTTGGATAAATTCTAACAAATGCAATGCAAATTTGTGAGGACCATGGTTTCTGATCAGGGAACACAATACTCAGGTACACATTTTTCTAACTCTGCCATTCAAAAACTGTTCTAAAGATTAGTTCTTTCTCCTTTTACAAGCCGCCCTCGTACCATCCAAGTATCCTAAAAAAAAAAAGAGCAAAGAAAGAAGAGCTTATTAAATAAACCAAGGCACAATGTTTACTTCTGAATAAAGCAGAAGTTATTTTCTCTTACTTACATATTTTAAAAAACACCAAAGTACAGTATCAACAGAATTATTGATCTTCCCTTCAAATCCATAGGCTCTGAACATGTTAATACATTATAATGCAACAAATGGTAAAGTCAAAGAAAAATATTGAAGATCACCAAAAAGATGAATTCATTTGTAAGATTTATATGAATTGCATGATGCATAAAAGGCAATCAAGAAAGGCAGCAACAGGAAAAGATACATAAACAGCACTACACTGAAATTACTGAACCAAAACCAAAAAGCTGTCATTTAAAAATAGTGTGCCTGGCTAGCATCATCCTTATATTGCAAACAGAGCAAGCCAGATGACAGGGAAAAATAAACATTCCTTCTCATTGTCTTGTACACATTATATTATGCCTCCTTAATGCATTTTCAATTGCTCCTATCTTCTCTACAATTCAAGAAGCACACTGGATTTCTCAGAGTCCATCTACAGCTGGCAACGAACATTATGTAGGCATGCAATGCTACTATTTATGCACCACACAGAAAGCAGGGAGGGAACAGATTTAAAACAGAATTCAGTGGA